GACTGAACATCTGCCCAGGTTGGGTTATGGGTTTTGAAAATCATTTTAAACAGGTTATGTACCTTTTCAGTACCTTCTCTCAAGCTGGGGGTATTGTTCCGCCAATTATACAAATCTGATGTAGTGAAAGGAATGTGCACAAAGGTTCGACGGTAGGTTGGCTCCCCATCATCTTCTAGAGGCCCAGGTACCACTTGTTCTCTTAGGGGAAATACCCCATTTCCCTTCCCACGGCCAGGATCAGATTCCCTGTGATGTTTTCCCTTAACCCCGGAGTCTGCTCTTAACTGTACTCTCCACCCACCTCCTGGGGTTATATCAGGAGAAATCGGGGAATCTGGAGATTGCCAAACACCTGACAGCCAGGGCTGGTGCTGTTCCAGATTCCTAGGTTGGGGAGTATTTTCAATCTCCGCCTTGGGGGGGAAGAAGCAGGAAGAGCAGATGCCAGCAAGGAATCAGATGTATCAGGAGGAGGAGAAGGAAGAGGAAGAGAATATGGTAAAGGCAGCAGAGGGGGAAGAGCCTCCGGCTCCGGACAGTCCAGGACAGGATTTACAGTTGGTTCAATGAAAGCCATCTCACTTCCCCGAACCCCCTCCCCCAATCCACATTCCTCCAAAACCTTTCTATTTCTACTAAGAGACATAAACGCTTGCGCATACATCAATTCCTCCCATTTACCATTCTGCCGGCAGAACAAAATCAATTGTAAGATAGTATTATAATTAACACTTCCCTCCGGAGGCCAATGTTCTTGATCATCTAACTTATAGTGTGGCCATGCAGTTTCACAGAAGAATTTAGCTTTCTTCCTAGTCATAGGATCTCCACCAAACTCTGCCCAATGTCCCAATGCACAAGAGAGGGGGGTACATTTCCTAACCTTACTGTTAATAGTACCCATCTCAGGGCTGCCTTCCCGGTCTTGACCGTCCGACTTACCTGGGATCCAGGGATCTGTTCTTAGTCCTCGTCCTCACAGGGGAAAAATCACTGGTCTTGGACTCGGGCCAGACAGAATACTCACAGAGATAATCCTAGGCAGGCGTGCTGACGGTAGGCCTTATGCCCTTTCTACCCTCTCACCCAGGTGCCTGTTACTGGTACTTTCACTCTATGGCGTTGCACCGTTAGGCTACTGCCGCCTCAGTGATCCAGCTCCCCCTGAAACAAAAGTCTCACTGGGAAAAGAGATCCCGGGGCACGCCTGACATTTGATAAGGAGGAGCTGTGTCTGGTCGTCAGTTAGTCCGGGCAAAGCTTATCTAAGGCAGTCCCATCTGGGTCGCCAAAAACTGTTGAGCCCCAGCTCAAGTCTGGGATCGTGCCCGGTATGCAAAAGCCAATAAAGATACCAGGGGTGAAAGTATAAAGAAGATTTATTGCTACCAATACAAGGTGCAAGCGGAATAATTTCACGTAACAAGCACACAGATTCTTAATTCTAAGCATCTTTTATACAGGTGTATTGGACCTTCATAAGCATTCTTGTTAGCTAATTGGTTATAAGGGAGTGACACAAGGAGTTCTTTACTGAGCATGTCTCTATACCTGTGTTTTAGCTATGTATCTCATTTACATACATGTATGTTTCATTAGCATACTTTCTCCCCACCTAGGGGTGTGATTTTTAATATTTAAATTAGCTCTTTGCCCTAGTCCTCTGATTCTGCTTTTGTTTTCAAGCCTCCTTTATCTAAGACTGTCTCCTCCTTATCATTGCAGATGGGCATTAGTTACATAACAGAGACTTTTGCTTGGGCTTTGTATAGTGGTTTCTAGGTCAAACCTGACAAAACCAGTTTCAGCCATTTTGAAACTGGTTTCTGTGCACCGAGTTTCTGTTCTGTTACAAGTTTAAGCCAATTTCTGGTCACTTAAACCATTTTATGTCCAACTTCTGTCCCTAGCTGAGGTGAAGGAAACAGAACTTATTCAAGCTTGCAAGGAAAAACCAAGGTTTAGGTAAGGGACATTCATTGTTTTAGTCTGTCTATGATCACCACATACTTTGGGGTAATTAAATAATACTTTGATTTTACAGTATTAAAGGAGAGGATGTCTTCATCAACTGTTGGCCATAAGCCCCCAGAAGAAATGTCTTTAGAGATGCCTCATTTTACTATCACCACCAGTAGACAAGGAAACTGCAGCTCAGATATAGTGCATCAGTAGTAGGACGGTGTGGTTCCCTCGAAGAGGAATGAACTGAGAGCAATCAGTTCTGCTTGTTTCTATTGACTATTACATTCCTGTCTGGTGAAGAATAGTAAAGATCAACTCTGCTAATGTACATTGCCAATAGTATCTTTGTTAGGAATTTAGAAGCCAGTCTAAAATAAACCTTTAACAAGCCCTTGATCAACACTAGAAGCCTCAACCCCCTTCCCCCTCCCCCCTGCAAAAAACAAAACAAAACAAAAAAACCCCACCCAATGCCTGACATCCATTTTCTGAAGCAGGCCAATTAAAAAAATAATGCTGAAGACCTGTGGATTACCTTCTTGTTCCCAGAATCTTGGAAACTTTCCCAATTAGGCTTTGATTCAAGACAGTACTGAAACATCACTTGCTGATGGACTTTTGACTAGAAATAAATCCATACACTTCCTGCTGGATTCTTCCTATATTTGATAACAATTATCAAATATTCCTGACTGACCTAAAAGAAAGAGTAATGTTGAACAGATATTGCCTGTAAAATGGCCCCAGCCTTTCCTTTTATGCTAGACCTAAGGAATCATTTTAGGTAACTGCTCCATTACCAAAGCCCTCTTACAAGGCTCAGTCTTGCCCCCACACCGCCCCCCAATATTATGGATCATGGGCTCCATCATCTGTCCCTCAGTCCTGCCCCTGGCTCTGAATTGACTCACACATGGCTAGACCAACCCCACATGATGGGCCTGGGATGCGCGGGACAAGAGGCTTGCACTCCAGAATCCATGCTACACACTGCATCCCTA